TTTTTTTTTTCGGATCAAGTTCGAAATGGCCGACTGGCGGCCATTTTGTTAAAGAATTCAGTTCTGGATCCGTATCCAAGACATGTCTGGATTGATCAAGTTCAAACTTTACACACACATGGTACATCATGTCACAAATAGATATGTGCATTTGTTTCATGATCTGCTTAACAATAGCGGAATGATGGCCATTTTAAGGCCGAAAATGCATCAAAATCACGTATTTTCACAATTCCAGAACCGGATCTCAGTCATGCATGGATGGATTTTGTTCAGATTTAGCACAATGTGTTGTACATATGCAGGTGCATTTCGGTCATGATCTGCTTTGAATGTATATGTCACTCAAATATGAACGGAACGGGGACGTGTCATTGACAATGACTTGTTAGTTTTACACTTAAATCTGTTCATATTAGTTACCTTATTTGCATAATTAGTTTTCAGCTATTCCATCAATATCTCAAGTATAAGTAATTTTGAATTAATTTTTAATGTGTCTCCAAAACTCTCAGCACACGGGAGTTCTTTCTAAGCTTTCTTTGATTTAGTTAATCATTTTAACCTTTTTTTTGACAGGAGGATGTCCAACCTTATTATGATGCTTATCACAAATTCTCACAATTTTTACATGAATGCAACTTACAGGTTTGTGTTACATATTTACCATATCTTTCTGGGTGATGTTTTGGATAATGGACCATAGTTTGGGAGATCGCCAAAACCAATCCTCCAGGGGAATGTTTTGGTGGCACTATTTTCTCAACATTATTTTGACAACTATTTTCATGTCCATGCTCTGTATCAACACGGATCAGGTTTCACATACTCTGGTTCAACTTAGTACTATGAAGAATCATTCATGTTATCTTCCGCACTTGATTCATTTAAAAAAACTAATTAATTAAATATATTCTAATAATTTGCTATATTTAAATAAAATTTTAAGTTTTTATGTAAAACATGCATGGAAATTATTATTGTCAAGCGAATTCTGAAAAAAAACTTAACGTTCCTTGATGTATGTGTCATCTTACATTTCTGTGAACCCTACCGGAGAATACAACACATTGTACCAGAATCTTTCTAGTCCCCATTCGGACGTAGTCCGTAAACAGGGACTTATGTTTTGACCTTTGTGCATCTGTGCTACCGTCCGTGCGTTCGGACCTGTATCTTAGAATTTGGACCAATCACATTCAAACTTCACACATACATCATACATGGTATTATACATATGCACATCAATTTGTTTAACAATCTGATTCAAGATGACTGAATGGCGGCCATTTTTGTGCTAAAAAATCATCAAAATTAAGCATTTATGGATGGATTTTAGTGCATACATTGGACATTATGGGACCTTGATGCACGTCATTTTATTTTTCAGATTCAATATCTCTGATATGCTTTGACTGATTATGTTCAAATTTTATATATTCGTTTTACATCATGTTATAGATATAAAGATGTATTCAAAATGGCAGACTGGTGGCCATTTTGTTATAATTGATGCTGTTCAAAAGCAATATTTGTCAATATGGACAAGTACTCGTTTGACAATTTGATACACGATGTCAATCATTTTAATGTTAAAAATTCATCATAATCATCTTCTGGATCCATACTTTTGACATGTTTATGTTCCAACTATATTACTATAAACAAAACTATATATCTTAAATTTGATAACTAACAGGGACTGTGCCATGCATGGCTTTTTAACTCCTAACACAACTTATTACCATCTCTACTATGCTCACAACTATGGGATTAATTGAATTCTATTAATTAATATTTACAGGTAGAGTACAAGTTAAAGGTGGGAGAGTGTGTTCTTTTTAATAATCGACGTATTCTTCATGCAAGGAAAGAGTTTATATTGAACGGTGGAACACGATATTTCCAGGTTTGTTATTAAAAACATTTAGGACATGATCACAATAGTTGAATTTTGTTATGATCATCCAGGGTCAAGGTCACAAGAAATTTACTGTGTTATTAGGCATTATACAATGAGGGAATTTTACAATATTGACAATTGTAATATAAATATATTTGTAAGGGAAATGTATCTACTTTTGTAGTTTGATTACAATTTTATTGAAAGTAAGGTTTGAAAATAAACTGATGATCTAAGAGATGTTATCAAGAATAATCTGAAACATACGGCTATATTCAACAAACTAGTTCAGAACTAGTTTTAAAATATTGATTTTCATCAAAAATTGTTCAGTATTGTTTCTAACTTATCTCAGTAAGTGTGCATAAAATACATATAAAAATCCCAGACATGTTTTGACGTGCCTAAAAATTAATGTTTTCATGATTTCTTTTGACAGGGATGTTACATCAATATTGACGAATTCAAGAGTAAAGTTGAATTCATGATGGTACAACGTAAAACTGGTAAACATGCAAAGAGGGTTGGGAATCAGTGCTTCTTGTGATGTTTGAAGTTTACAAGCAATTTGTGTAATTGTCAATATATGTAGATTGAATCACAGTTCGGGTTTTGTGATTTGACAGAATTGATTTTAAATAGGTTACTTCAAGAAATAATATTTAATTTATGCAGCTCTTTATAGTTGTTACTATGTTTAGATAAAGTCACGCTACACAAAGTACGGGATAAGATTTAAGCTGATTCCATATGTTTGCATATCAGATAAACCCAATTGCATTCATGCACAGGAGGAAATGGTGGTTAGCATGGGCTAAGGAATGCACAAACTTGTTAAGAATTTTAAAAATGTCCAGTTATTTTAACTAGGATTATTCAGTACAGTAACAAGGAAGGTATACAGCTCCACGGTTCTGAAACAAAACCAAAGCAAATTCAGAAAGTGCAGATTGCAGAATAACAGGAAGTAGCTGTTCATTTTTTCTTATGAACAATTTCTCTATATTTCTCCTCTTTAGCATTTTCACCACCAGACTTTCTCGCCCAAATTTGTCTGCACTTTTGTCTTATATTCAATATTTCTGGAAATAAATTCAAGAAAGAAAGAAAGAAACTTGACTTTTTTGTGCATTTGTGGAAGAGGAAACTGGTACTGAAAATGTTAAACTAATTGTTGACCTTTAGACCAATTGTTCAGTTTGAAAGTTGTTTGTAACCTGATGTTTCCAATTTAAATACTGCTACATTGTCATTGTGATGTGAAATAACGTAGTAAAATCTCTGTATGATATTTCTTTGCTAGACACAGCTACTACTGCACGGAAAATATGTATTTTAATGTTAAAGTTATTTATTTGACTCAAGAATACATACAACTCCAGAAGTAACTTTCATGTTAGCATTTCAATGCTAGTTTTAATAGTTTTTTGTAAGTGTATTATATTTTTTAATATGATATTGTTTTATTAATCTTAGATCTTTGTTTTTTTTAGTTTTGGATACGTCAGCATGTGATAGCATTTATTTTTGTAATTATTGTCAATAGATTAGTTGTAATTTTGAAGGAGGGAGGTGTATGTCACTTTTCAATAAACTATATTCTAAGTTATTTTATGTACAGTATATAACAAATAGTTTTTTTTTAAATGCTGTTCCTCACTCCCTTGGATATCATGTGGGATTTACATCCCAAATTTTGGTTTCCCTGTAATAAATAAAGTATTTAGCTGTCACACTGTAAGGACTGCTTATTGATATTGAGAGGGACACCCACCGCAAACTGGACAGGGCAATCTTTCACTGCTAGAATGGGGTAGACAAGACATTAGTTGAAGAAGAGAAATACTCACACACCAAAATATCAAATTAAAGCTCCTGACTTTAATACTTCTCAAAATAATAACAAACAAACAAAACAAAGAATAAATTCACTAAAATAAAGGATTGTCTAGGGTAAGTGTGCATTGACAGTCAATGGCTTCTGCAACACAACAACGAAGAGATACAAGAGCCTTGCTTGCATAGGAACGCTGTTATTCTGGGGGCACCGCTGATAGCAGGAGATCGCAGAGTAGTTCTTACAAGTCTCACAGAATGATGAGTGAAGCCTGTATAACAATATCACAACAACACTCAGAGTACTCATTATTGAAATGGTCGACAACAACTGTCCTCAATCTAGCCTATTTATAGGGCCTAAATGGCCCAGTTTCAGGTACACCACCTGGGTTTCCACAGGAGCCAATCAGAATGTAGTCTTGCTAGCAGCTGTCTCATGATAGCATGCAGGCACTCATGTAAGAAAGTCAGTAGATTGTAAACATCCTTTTTTATGGAAATCACAAGCACACCTGATAGAT